CCTCTTATAACTAAGCCAATATAGCTAGATTGTAAAAGAATACAACTTGCAACATTATATCATTTTTATTTATTTATTTTATATTTGAATTTATATCCCGCCCTTCTCCCGTAGGACTCAGGGCGGCTGACAATCTATTTAAAATACATACAAAACAATACAAATTTAAAATTAATTAAAAAGAATATTAAATATTTGTCGAATTTAAAATATAATTAAAACCCCCCTAAAAATTACCCTAGGCCAGTCCTGCAAGCTGGNGGAGCCTCCGGGTGCTCCTCAAGGGGAGCCCCATGTAGAGAGCATTACAGTAGTCCAGGCGGGAGGTGACAAGTGCATGAGTGACCGTGCGTAGGGCGTCCCGGTCCAGAAAAGGCCGCAACTGGTGAATCAGGCGTACCTGATAAAACGCCCCCCTGGTCACGGCCGACAACTGGTCATCCAGCGTCAGCCGCGAATCATGCAGGTTTACTAGAAATATATCCCACAGGTTTCAGTGAAATTTACTGTGCAATCTTACATATTACTATTACAATATTTACTAAATTGAATGGGGCTTACTTCCAGTTAAGTGTGCCTAAAAGCCTTCCCCTGCTTGCTGCTCTCCAAGTGTGTTGTACTGCAACTACAGTTATTCTCTAATAGCATGGCCAATTGATGTCCATTACCTTTGGAGATCATTAATGTTGATGAAATGTGCTATACAAGTAGTTGTAGACCCAGGGGTCTTCAAACTTGGCCCTTTTATGACTTGTGAACTTCAACTCCCAGAATTCCTCAGCCAGCATGCCTGGCTGAGGAATTCTGGGAGTTGAAGTCCACAAGTCAAAAGGGACAGGTTTGAAGACCCCTGTCGTAGAGTTACGACAGTTTATTTAGTGACCATTCAACAGCACTGAAAAATGTGACTTATGACTGTTTTTCATAGTTATGACCTTTGCAGCATCCCCATGATCATGTCATCAAAATTCAAATGCTTGTCAACTGACTCATATTTATGACAATTGCAGTGTCCTCAGGTCATGTGATCACCTTTTGCGACCTTATGACAAGCAAAGTCAGTGGGGAAGCCAGATTCACTTAACAACCAGGTTACTAATTTGTCAACTGCAATAATTCACTTAACAACTGTGGCCAGAAAAGTCATAAAATGGGGCAAAACTCACTTAACAGCATAAAGTTTGGGCTCAATTGTGGTCGTAAGTCAAGGACTACCTCTATTGGTCTGTTCATAAAGAGTTTAGGTTTAAATTACATTACATAGAAAATCATCATCAACAACCACCATCTGGTTGAAACAAGTATCAAGGAAGGGGTTAGGGTTACGGTTAGCTTTTACTTCTCAGAAAAGAGTATTAAGAGAAAATGATTTTCAGTGGAGAAGTGATGCTTTTGTGAACAGACATTCTTCACTACCATTGAGGCAACTTTGAATGGACATTTTGTATTTTGAAGTGAGAAATCTGAATCGTTTGCATTTTCATCAGATTTTTAAATTGGATACCTTTACTCTTCCATGGCAATGTCCTAGGACCTAGGTCAGGGGTGTCAGACTGCTGGCCCACGGGCCGGACACGTCACGAGGAAACTGCACCCACCCCATTGCTGGCAATGGGGGAAAAGCTCCAATACGTCACGCGACGTCACGTGACGTCGCGAGTTTGACATGTCTGACCTAGGTCCTCCCCCCAAATTACTTGCATAGGGCATTGATAACCCTGTATAACGGTCAAGGATTTCCTTTTGTCCTGAAGAGATTAACGAAAGAATAACCAAAAGGACCATATATTGCTGGTTAGAATCCTGTCTGCAGTCTGCTATTTTAACACATTTTATTATTTGTTATTCACTAGTTTTTGATCTCTTAGTACTGATTTTCTTTTTGCTTTAATACTTATTCATATGAGGGTAATAATGCTGACATCCTCTGTTGCCTGACACTTTGGGTTGGTTTAGGTTGATCCAGCACAAGAATAGGCTAATGACCCATTTCTCAAGGGAAGATGTTCACAACATTTTATCATTATGGTGATGCTAGGTGATGCTAAACAATGTTTTTCAAAAATGGCCCTTCGATTTAAATCCTGCTTTACACATTTCTACCTAAGCTCTGCTGTTTCTTAGAATACGATCATACCTGAGATAGCCCATTGGAAAGGCATTCTCTGCCCATTTTTTTGCCATGTAACACCAAAAATAATGTTTTCTGACTTACGCTGGCTCAAGCAATGCTATCCAGCTTCCATGTTGCCCTTTATTTCATAGTAGATACACTCTTTCACTCTAGTTGGCTACTGTGTACTGTGACAAGAATGTCCTTTCTAATTACTCTTTTCCCCCCAACATTTTAGTAATATACTAGGAGTAAATAATAATAGTAGTAGTAGTAAAGTTGAAAGGGATCTTGGAGGTCATCTAGTCCAACCCCCTGCTCAGGCAGGAAACCCTATACCATTTCGGACAAATGGCTGTCCAATCTCTTCGTAAAAACTTCCAGTGTTGGAGCATTCTGGAGGCAGGTTGTTCCACTGGTTAATTGTTCTAACTGTCAGGAAGTTTCTCCTTAGTTCTAGGTTGCTTCTCTCCTTGCTTAGTTTCCATCCGTTGCTTCTTGTCCTGCCTTCAGGCGCTTTGGAACTTTTTACCTGCTTGATCTACTTAGTACAGGGGAAAAATACTATGTTTTCCTATACCCGGAATACCATCTCACAATCTTCACAATTGAAGACAAACTGATTTCTATCCAGGTGCTTTGATTATTGTTTTCAGAGACAGAAATGGGAAGGAACTTAATCATAAAAGAAAAAAAAAATGGTGGGATCTATGTCTGGAGATTGACAATACGATGGTTATAATTGGGCAACATTTGCTGATTCTGAGAATATTCATACATCTTATATTTCTTTTGAAAAAAAGAGAGCAAAGCTTCACAGAGAGCTCCAGTGCCCTAGAATGAAGTTCTGGCATAGGTTAATGGTGTTTCTAGAAAAAACAGTATTAAGGTTTTACAAATGAAATGGCAACTAATTGAATAGTGATTTTTTTAATAGCAAGCATGCTGGCTGCTGGATAATTTCTACAAAGAGAAATCAGAACTCGGTTTCACCATCTGCCCAGTGGGAAAACATGCCTCTTCACTGGTAATGTGTAAGGTGAGGTGGCATCCTTTTGCTTTTTTTTTTCCAAGAGATGCAAGTGTCAACAATGAGCGCTGGTAAGGCTACCTAACCAACAACACTGGTAGTTTTTAAGATGGGAATTCTTCCTGAAAGTCAGTCTCTGACGTTTACAATCCATGTCGGTAATAAAAAGATTCTGCTACTCAAATTTATGAAAAGAGAAGATTAAGCTTATTTAATATTTTTACCTGAACTATTAGAATAGTGCTCAGTTTTGAAAGGTAACCAAGAAATGTAAGCATTAATACAATTTGAAGGGATAAGAATGAACATGAATTCTCCAATGTGTGCTGCATTGTTTTTCTTAGTGGGTAGCTTTTAATTTGTCACAAAGGCTATGTAATGTTCCCTGAAAACTCCACAGTTAGCTCTGTTCTCAAAATAATCCAAATGGAAACTTCCCAATAAGGATATGGCACTGGATGCCAGAATGCAGCTCTTAAAAATTAATAGTTCCCAAAAAGAACATGATACTGATACCACGGAAAGCGTGCTTTAAACTTATGAGATACAATGGAAAGCGGGGCAGATGTCAAAGGTAAACAGAGAGGCTTCCAACAGAGCCAGCATAGAAGGTTATTTTAGTGCTGGGTGGAAATTTGCAAATGGCACTGTAATAAAATACAGTTAAAAGCCATAGAATAGTATATTCAAAATGGATAGACTCATCCATCATAGTTCCAATCTAAAGTAATAGTCATCGGTTTCCCATCATGCTTGTATAATTATATATTATGAATAATCGGTAAATGTGCTTGTATGCTAACTTGAAGAAAATACTTTTCTTGCATATAAAATAAAGTATATCTAAGGACGGGAAATTTCTCTGTGAAAGCAAAGCAGATCATAGAAGGAGGTTTGCTTAAATACTGTATAGCAAATGTCTTAATAGTACAGGAACACTTACTGGCACTAAACATTCTGATTATCCAGTCCCAGTTTATAACATCACTCAAGCTAACATTAACAAAGGCAGGCTTTTTATCACCATAGTGTGCTGGGTGATGCTAAACAATATTGGTGCAAAAATGGCCCTTCAGTTCAAATGCTGCTTTGCACATTTTTCCCTTGCTAGGTTCTACCGTTTCTTAAAATATGAACATACCCTGAGATGTCTCAGTGACACGAATACATACAACAAATTGTACTGGCTAAGAATACCTAATCATGCTGCGGTGTGTTTGACTCTTTGAAGTTCCTCCCTCAGCCTTGATGAGTGTACAAATTGTTCCTTGCCTTTAAGTTCAGATTTTATCTTGGAAGAACATAGTCGTGGGCAAAATTCAACATTAATTGTCCAGGTCACAATATTCATACAACTTTTTCATGTACTTACTTAGCTTATTTTCTCTACAAAGATTGGTTTTTCAAAATTAATTTATTTTCTGTGTATATAGTAAAGATAGGGTAAGAAGAGAGAAAAAGAATAAGGGCTAGGAAAGGACAGGAAACATTGCAGAGACAAAATCTGAAACTCTCTCCCAGCCATTAAGTAGGCTTACATTCCTTGCAGATGTGCCAATAGAGCAGGCACCTATTTATAAATATCTTGGAGTGCAATTCTAGGCTTTCTTATCACTTACTGGGCAAGTGTGGCTATTGTACTATTCTCTTAAGATTCCTCTATTCAAAGGAGGCACATTTTATTCTTGCTTTTTCTTAAGTAATTTCTCAGCTTCTTTATGGAGGTTCAATTTGCATGTTTATAAAGTTTAATGTCTTGGAAGCTATCTAGTTTATAAGACCAATACTTGCAGTTCCAAGATGCATCAATAGTGCTATTTTACAGTTATAGGCAGGTTTGGCTTTTGTGGATGCCAGAGCCTGGTTCTGTCTCCTTGATTTCTGTTGAAATTGATTTTCTTATCCTGTGGGTCTGGTTCCAGTGGTGCTCTAAACATTATTTTAAATCAGCCTGGCTAGCAACAACTAATAGCAAACTCTAGTCCTCAGGACTCTTTGTAAAGTCTCTGTCCATTAGTATTTAAAAATGCCGGGAGTCATCTTAAACAACATATCTGAGACATTGATTTTCAAACCAGTTTAAGTCTAGTATCCCACTCTATAGTTAATGTATTCCTCTCAAATGTGCATGTGCCATCATCTTATCTCTTTTCAATTCTAATTCTGAAATTTAATTGAGCTTTTTACCTTGGCCAGGTTGATTTCACTACTCTCTGCAGTCTTGGGTAGTGGTGGGGTGTATAAAAACATCCCTTTTCAGCAATGCTTATACCCATGTGGAGATAGCTCTGTGGAATCTGTGCTTCTCTGTTGCTTTTTACATAGAGAATCTAGGAAGACATACATTCATCTCATTTTAAGGAACTACCGTACCATGGTAGAGAGCACGATGTCTCTCTGGTCACTGTTTCTAACTGACCAGGATCATGCTATATCTTTCTAGCCTGGCTTTGTGCTACCATTCGTTGTATCTACTGTATCCTACCTAAGATTGAAGTTTAGCACAAATTTCGATGATTGCCACTGCCATCTGTAGTACAGCTATTATAATTGTCTTACGTACATTTCATTTTATTTTTTTAAAGTTTTATCAGTAATGACAGGTTTATGTTTTTTTATTGTTGTGTTCTCTGGCCCAAAGGTCATAATAAAAGTTTGACAGAATCCGGATTCTAGATGGTATGTAGGATAATAATAAAGTTGCCAGTTGACTGGGACTTGGACTATCCCCCTTGATGGTAGGCCTTCCATATGCGAGCTGTGCCATCCAGTGAAACTGACACATACTGCAGAAAATCGAAGAAGAAAGTAAGTTGGGAGTAGCAGCGGCAACACACTGTACAAGGCTCAAAGAACTGGATAAAATATAGTGATTGCCCAGAGGCCTCGTCTCATGAGTTTTCCGACCGTATTGGTCTCCCATCCAGTTGTAGGCCAAAGAGTGATCTCAGCCCAAATTCCAATCAGCCATACTTCAAGGATGTGGCCTTCCTACCTGCTTCATTTCTGGGACATGGATGAGACCCTTGATAGAATCTTGATGTCCTGTGTAACTTTGCACTAGTGCTCCAGAGTTTGGGTCATAAATCCTGCAAAAATAAAAAAGACAGAGTTACAAACCTATCCAAGGATAAGCTATCCTTTTTTTGGTTTCCGCTTCCCTTACTACCAAATGCCTTACTCTGTGGCTACCTGATAGTATCATGGTCTCCTGCAATGATACATCCATTGATCTGGTCAATGCAAATACAAGTGATTCTTCTAGGGGCTTTCATGTCTCGCACACAACATCCACCATCTTCACTCTAAGTGAACCAGATTAAAAAAACAAAACACTTCCACCATCAAGGAAGACACTCTGTTCTCCAGCTTCAGCGATATACCGCACTATACAAATACAACTTTTGAAATTCTATTCTGACCTTTTGATTCTCTAAGAATCATCATGCAGAACTATTTGTGTTTGATTAGAAAATCATCATACTGTAGGTCTGTGAGGGCTAATCTATTTTCCTGTGGTCTTACCTATCACTACACTTAACATGAAACAAGGAGTGAAGTTACTTACCCAGAGTTGAATGGTGCCATCTTCAGCCCCAGTTACCCATTTGTTTTGTTGTGGGTGCCATGCCAGGGCTAGGACTGTGGTTTTGTGCTCGCAGAGTTCAGCCAGGAGCTCCAGGTCAGCACAATGAAAATTGAAAGCGCAGATGAAAACTCCAGTGCTGGTAGAGAAGGCAAATTCCCTCCTTTCAGGAGCAGGGCTGTGTGGGCTGTGAATAGCAGGGATAACAGAACCTTGGCAAACTTAGATTATTGGTGATAAAAGTCTCTCTGGCACAGAGGTGGGCGACGATAGCAACTTTATGACCTATGGCAGTGGTGGCGAACCTATGGCATGGGTGCCAGAGGCAGCACTCAGAGCCCTCTCTGTGGGCACACGCGCTGTTGCCCCAGTCCTAGGCCTTCAGCTGGGTTTTATAAAACCTTTTCGCTTTAGGCCTCCACCGCCGTGTGCAAAAAAAAAAAAAAAAAAAGTTCAATCAGTCAATTTCAACTTCTTGCAAAGTTGGAATTGATTGATTGAACTTTTTAGTCCCACCCAGTCTGCCGTTACCACCGCAGCCACGCCCACCCAATGGGCCACACCCACCCGGCACTCGACGATGCATAAGTGGGTTTTGGGTTGCAGTTTGGGCACTCGGTCTCTAAAAGGTTCGCCATCACTGACCTATGGACTTCAACTCCCAGAATTCTTGAGCCAGCCATGCAGGGACTTGTACTTCTTATGTTTGCTACTGTCCATTTTTGCCATGAAAGATGCTTTTACAGTCCTCCTTTCGTGCAGCCAAGATGACATTCTTCTCTAAGAGCACATTGATGCTGTGTTGTTTTTTTTTAAAAAAAAATCAAAATGCAGAAAGGTTTACCCACCTATTTTGGGAACAGGCCACATCCAGGATAGGCTCGTTATCCCCAGGCAGGTTGGAGAAGGTGTTTTGAAAGGAGCGCTTTTGAAGATTCCAGAGGCACAGCCTTCCATCCCATCCCCCACTGAGCTGCAATGAAAGGGGGGCAGGTGAGAGCTTGCTTCTCAGGGCTCTGCTCCCTTTACTCCTCTCTCTCTCCCCCCCTCCTTTCATACCTTCGTTCCTTGAAGACTGTCTCTGCTCCCACTCTCTCCCTTCTCACCAAATGAAGAGATTGCTGAAAATATTCTTAGAGGGTTATGGGTCCCACTTTACAGAGAACACAATGCTTGCTTTGTGGGGATTCTTTATGAAAAGGATAGTGCAGGGCTAGTCTGCCCCCTGTGGTGCACTTCTGGATAGCACGCAAGAGTGAACCGAACAGATTAGCACAGTGGTTCTCAACCTGTGGGTCGGGACCCCATTTGGGGTCGATCAACCATTTCACGGGGGTCGCCAAGCAAGGCTGTCCGCCATTTTTTTTGTCTGCCATTTTTTTCCCCTTTTCTGGCGGGTGCCTTACCTCCCTTGGGCTGGGCCAGCTGGTGATCGGCCTGCTCCGTCTCTGCCGCTTGCCAGATACGCCTCGGCCGGTGCAGGGAGCGGAACCACGCATGCGCGGCACTCCCGGGCAGGGAAAGTCCTCGACTTACGACCGGTTGGGTAGTCCTTGACTTACGACCGGTTTAGTCCTCGACTTACGACCGGTTGGGGTCGCGGCATTAAAAAGGTTGAGAACCACTGGATTAGCAGTCTTGGGCAGCCAAACAACTACTCTGCATTAACACTCTACTCTCCTGGCTAATGTACCATCACCATATACCAGGGGTAGTCAACCTTGGCTCTTTTATGACTCGTGGACTTCAACTCCCAGAATTCCTGAGCCAGCTAAGCTGGCTCAGGAATTCTGGGAATTGAAGTCCACGAGTCATAAAAGAGCCAAGGTTGACTACCCCTGCCATATACTAAATATATAATGGAAAGGTATTTAGTTCAAGGCCATTTTAAGGTCAAAGAGCCATCACATGGGAGACCAGCAGGAACAATGACATTTTATAGTTAACACTTGTATACCAGACCCAGTCACCCGAACAGTTTTTCTGATATGGTACCACTTAACGGATACAAAGTATTAATTTCATTTAGTGTGCAAATTGTATATAAGTTTATATAATATTCTCTTTTCAGGGGTCATATATAAGCACCTACCCTATATAATCTTTCCCCAGCCGTTCACTTACCAGATAAGGGACGTGAATGCCATTCTTCTCATTTGTCACTAGGGCAAGGGCTGTAATCATGCCGGTGTGTCCACACAATACTATTCTGCATGTGAGATCTATTTAAGATAATGATATGGAAGACAGCAATTGGATGGAAAAGAGAAAGGAGAGATCACTCCACCATGATGAAACTGAACTGATATATTATTATAACAGATATTAATCTGACTTATATTCTATTTTTCCACCCACAGGCCCTTTTAAAATACAGAAACATTAGCCTGGCAGTGACAACCTGCTAAATTCATTTGCCAAGATAAACATAAGGTAGACCCCAAAGGAGAGAAGGGAAGATTTCTCAAAGTTGCATATGAAAGAAAATTACAGTGCTATATATTTGTAGTATGTTGTATAGTAGTTCTTTTGTCTTATTAGATCCACTGTCATATAATTTAGTCACTAGATCAGTTTGATCAGTCTAACAAAAAAACCAACAACAATAAGTTCTTCTAGAGCAGGGGTGTCAAACTCAATTTCATTGAGGGCCGCATCAGCATTGTGGTTGCCCTTGGGGGGGTGGGGGGGGTGGCCAGGGTGAGTGCGGCCTACTGGGTGGGTGGGGAGTGGGTGTGGCCTATTGGATGGGCATGGCCAGCTCTACATCGTACGCGTCAAGTGTGCCTGTGGGGGCCTGGGCAGGAGTGGGACAGATCTGCGGGTCTCTGGCAGAAGGGGGTGGGATCAGGGCAAGTGCCAAGGCATGGTCTACTGGAGGAGCCTCACCGTTCCTCTCAGGCCATGTGGGGGAGCTGGATGGTGGTGCGGGCTGCCCGGAGCCCTGGGCAGCAGAGGTCAAATGCCCAGCCTGGCCCTCGAGCACCTGCAGAACCAAGCCCAGCCTCACTTCCCCAAGGGGGCGCCCAGCTGCACTTACCTCCTCAAGGCTGCTGCTGCTGTGCTTGCTCTCCTGAGCCAGGTTGCTCATGATGGGTACGAGGGCAAAGTCAGAGGGAGGCTCATTCCCTCTCCATGGGAGGAGACCCAGCTTTGTATCCAAAGCTTCCTTAGCAATAGGATGAGAGACCCCAGGATAGGCCAGGAGGAGGGGGCAAGGGGATGGTAAAAGGGCAGCAGGACCGGACTAAGGCAGGACTTCCCTCAGACCCTCCCTCTCCTTCTTTCCTTCTTTCCTTTCTTCCTTCCTAAGTACAGAGTGGTGGGAAAATATTTGAGATGAGGGAGGGAGAAAAACAGGCAAGAAACACAGCCAGGGCCAGGGCCAAGGCAGTGGGGGCCATTCCCTCACTGTTTCCAGGATGGCTTCGTGGGCCACATGAAACCACTTCACGGGCCGCATCTGGCCCCCGGGCCTTGTGTTTGACATGTCTGTTCTAGAGGCCCTGTGTTCTTGGTTTTCTTTGTTCATGTCTCCTGGTTTATTCTTCACCCTGTTTCAAAATGGCTCAGACAATTGATAACAGCCCACTTTTACAAGGCCTCAGTTTCTTCCACTAAAGAAAAATGCCCTTGAACAGCAATAGATCATTTGGGATGTCTCTGAAATTTCTATCCCATTCTGAATGGGATATTTTTACCTGAGATACAGCTGCTTGAAGGTTCGCAGACCATCTCATCTTGGGCACAACCTTTTGCTAGTGTTTTGGACTCTTGATCCAATGCAGACATATTTTGCTACAGCACAGAGAAAAATATAAAATAGTAAAGAAAATGTTTCTGAATCCTGTTTTGCAATAAATCTTCCCCCTGGATTTTGTTATTATGCACCCATGAATTTATTTCAGCTTTCAGCAACCTTACGATTACCAGATTTGTTGGACTTAAAGTCCTACAGTTCCTCGTTACTATGGCAGCATTTCTATAATAACTAGGAAGTGTAGGAATTGAAATCTAAGCAAGGAGATTATTAAGTTTATCAAGTTAGGGAAGGCTTGTCAGTTCCATAAATGTTAAAGTAAGCAGCCTGTGGTCTCTGGGAGAGAGTTCAAGGTACTAGTTGGGCCACATATTCCTCTGATTACCATCCCATTGTTCAGAGTTAACTATTTCCCCCCCTAAAGCTATATGTCTTTTCTGTCTAAGTAATCTCCATACTTAGACTTCAATTTCCACACTTCCTAGTTATCATAGAAATACTGCCATAGTAACTAGGAACTGTAGGACTTTAAGTCCAACAGTTTTCCATTATAGGAAAGTAAAGGTTGTTACTCTTTGAAGATGACCTACAAAGTGATTTTGACTGCCTTCCATCCAGTCATAGGAAGAAGAGTTTGCTCTTACCTGGGCAGGGGGCTCAGTACCTGGGATGAAGGTCTCAAATTCCCAGAGATAAATATTCCCGTTAGTTGCTGACATCACTAGAATATCCAGCTGTTCGACAAAGATGACCCTATCAAGGCCCAGGGTTTGGTTATCAAGATTGCTCTAAATCAGCATTCAAGATCTGATTTGAAAACCCAAACCCAACATTTTCCTCCTTTTTCTTTTACCCCCCAGCTAAGAAGGTATGGATACTTTTTAAATGTCCTTGGCAAATGTCACCAGGTTTTAAGCTACTTGCTTTTAAGTAGCAAGCAATAATTCTATCTAATGTTCTTAGTTAGTTTTGCTGTAACGTCCCAACTATAGTAACATGTATCCAGAGAGACCACATCCTGATATTTACCTAGTGAACCCTATTTTTTCTTTTCCTATGTCTTTGGCTGTGATCAGGGGTCTGCTGTAACAACTTCGGAGCCTACTGCAAGTCCTCATTTTTTGTGCAGAATATGGACAAGGTTTCAATTCTTTCGGATGACCTTTTTCTATCTGATCAGCCAAAGGTCCTCGTCGCTCCAAGTGGCCTTTGTCTATATGGAAGGACTCCCTGCTGAATGAAACAGACACACAATCCGTGTTTACATAATGTACTTAATCAGATTCTTAAAAATAACCAGCAGATGCATTTGTACAACTTGCTAAATTTGATTAGCATTAGTGGTAGATGTTTAATGCTTTAGCATGATGTGTGAACCCAGCTATTCAGTTAGTTTATATACCAGTCAACATATTTGCAAACCCACAAAATAGATTAATTCGGTAACAAGTTATTGTGTGAACACAGCCACAAGACAGGAAAGACCAGAGACATTGCTATGGAGCTGGGCAATCGATAGGTGTGAGGCTGAGTTGCTTTATGACTGGAGCAGGTAGAACATGAATAGAGGAGACAGGAAAGAGGATGCATAAGACAAACAGAGTTACTGTAGCTTGTCTGTGAACATATACTTTTTATAAGTACAAATGAATGAGGCAGACTCATTTAAGTGATAAGATGCTAAGCATCTTATCAGCAAGGACTATGTTTCCTCTTCTTAGCAGCAGAAGTTTGCAGGTTTCAGCATATAACTAGTTACATCACTAATATTCCATTACTGGGCAATGGAAATCTCTGAACAAATTATATCAGTGCCCGGAAGTATTTCCTAAATGTAGTGATAAACCTTTACCTGTAAATGAAGGGAGATATGTAGCTTCTTTCCCATTTTTGCAACATTCCATTGGTGTCCCCACTGAAGAGCAAAATGGGCTCCTTTTTGGCTAATAAAGATAACAATGAGAAGGTGAACCAAAAGTAACTTGGACTTGGTAAACCAGACAAAGGGTTTACTGCTGAACAGTTGATATAAAGATTAGCCCAAATACTAACTAGCTAACTTGACTCTTTAGGGCAGTGGTTCTCAACCTTGTTAATGCCGCGACCCCCAACTGGTCGTAAGTTGAGGACTAAACCGGTTGTAAGTCGAGGACTAAACCGGTCATAAGTCGAGGACTAAACTGGTAGTAAGTCGAGGACTACCCAACCGGTCGTAAGTCGAGGACTTTCCCTGCCCGGGAGCGCTGCGCATGCGTGGTTCCGCCCCCTGCACCGGCCGAGGCGTAGCTGGCAAGCGGCAGAGACGGAGCAGGCCGACCACCAGCTGGCCCAGCCCAAGGGAGGTAAGGCACCTGCCGGAAAAGGGGGAAAAAAATGGCGGACAAAAAAAATGGCGGACAGCCTTGCTTGGCGACCCCCGTGAAATGGTCGATCGACCCCAAAGGGGGTCGCAACCCATAGGTTGAGAACCGCTGCTTTAGGGAGGTTATTTTGGCTATGAGTTGTTGCATCTGATAAAGCTTATACTCCCTGATCTATTGCAGGCTGAGGCTGAGCAGGTAAGAGTTATGCCTGGCTACTCACCGTAAGCAAGACACTCCAGGGAGTGTTTGCAAGGCAGCAGCGTTAGACATCCCAACTCACTGTAGCGCCAGATCACAACTTGCTGTGGTTTTGCTATGCCTCGAAGGAGAAGAGAACAACATTTTATGTGTTTTACCTAAAATAATCTTTTCGGGATTGCTTAAGGTTACTTGGATTACTCTAAAATGTCTTACCATCCACCAGGTTATATCATACCTTGAGAAAGAAAGGATGTAGCTGGAAATGTTCTACTGTACTTAAAAAAAATCAATTGAATTTATATTCCCGCAGAACAGAAACCTCTTATTGAAAAAAAATATCGAAAGTGGGATTTGTTGATGTGCCAAATTAAACATACAAAACTTTCCTCAATTTTATGCTTTCCACTTTTATTGGGACTACAACTCCCAGAATTAGCAGCAGAAGTCCCAGTCAGCTGAAGTGGGTTCATAGGGTGGACAATGGACAGAGTTTTCCATTCCTGTTCATCCTCCTAGCCATTTTTTTATCCCTGCAAAGCAACTGAATGGAGGGATACTCATTCAGCTGGAACAGAGAAATTAGCCTGGAATTGCAGTGCCAACACTTGAATATCATTCCTAAACCGAGACTCAGTTCTCGAATCATGGTTCAACTTAGTTGCCTCGGCTTTTGAGAAAATCGTATCTTCTCCAAGGTAATTTCTGCTAAATTAATTGATGGTGTGACTTTATATTCTGCTTGTCTTTCCTCCATTATAGAAGTATGCATGTTTCTCCTTCATACTATCCTCTCATTAAATCCTATAAAGTAACTATAGAGACTATTAGGCTGAGAAATAGGGACAGATTCAAGATCATCAAACATTATTGCTGAATGGCTTGAATTAGATCTCCAGCAGTTTTCATACAATACTCTAACCCAGGGGTAGGCAACCTTGGCTCTTTTATGACTTGTGGACTTCAACTCCCAGAATTCCTGACCCAGCATGGCTGGCTCAGGAATTCTGGGAGTTGAAGTCCACGAGTCATAAAAGAGCCAAGGTTGACTACCCCTGCTCTAACCTAACTCTCTGTAACTTGATGCACTCTAGATCTGATGAAGCTGTAACTCCCAGAGTACCCAGCCTGTGCTCACAAGGAATACTGGGAGATGTAGCTAGTACATTGGAAATGTGTCAGATTGAGGTGAACTGGTTTTCTCATTACAAGTCTTCCTTGACTCTTTTACAAATATAATTTTATGTTAAGAACATGAAACGGTTGGTTTATAGCAGGGGTCTCCAAACCTGGCAACTTGTAGACTTCAACTCCCAGAACTCCCCCAGTCAGCATGGCTGGCTGAGGAATTCTAGGATTTGAAGTCCACAAGTGGCTAAATTTGGAGACCCCCGGTTATAAGATATGAAGACGGAATCCATGGTAAGAGGTTTGGAAGGCCAGATGAGATTTTGACTTGCAAATCTGAGGGAAGAGGTATCAGTGCTTTGCTGGGGTACTCACCAATCACATGCTTTGAGTCTGGCAGGCTGAGGAGCTGCTGGAGAACCAGCTCGTCCTTCTGATTGCCCTGGAATGTGGATATGAACTGTGAAACCTGAAAGACAGAAGCCTATTTAATATGGGTTTTTCCTTCCTTTTGCTATTTATGTGTAGGCAAAACCTTTTTATTTGTGAGGAAATGAAAAAGATAAATTTGTGGCACTGCTCTGAAAAGCTCTTGTCCAGACATGTTAAACACAAGGCCCGGGGGCCGGATGCGGCCCGCGAAGTAGTTTCATGTGGCCCGCGAAGCCATCCTGGAAACAGTGAGGGAACGGCCCCCGCTGCCTTGGCCCTGGCCCAGGCCAGCCGGGAACCAATGTACAATTTTGTGATGGCCATCCTGGCACTTGCCTCAGTGGACCATGCCTTGGCACTTGCCCCGGTCCCACCCCCTTCTGCCAGAGACCCTCAGATCTGTCCCACTCCTGCCCAGGCCCCCACAGGCACCCTTGACGCGAATGATGTAGAACTGGCCACGCCCACCCAGTAGGCCACACCCGCTCTATCCACGCCCACCCAGTAGGCTGCATCCACTCTGGCCACACACCCCCAGGGCAACCGCAATGCTGATGCGGCCCTCAGTGAAATTGAGTTTCACATCCCTGCTCTTGTCAAACGAAGTTGCACAGCTACAGAGAAGAAAGTAAGCAATATTCTTGAATGGTAATTTTTTTATTTTAAAAATGTGAGCTTTCAACATATCTTGGAGCAACTGGAAGATCCCAAAAAAAACAATGCAAGGAATCCAAGTAGCCTCTGAAACACCGACTCAATAGAAACAACGAATGAAAAACACTGTCCATATTAATGGAAAGAAACATCAGCTAAGCCACAGCTTAGGCAGCTAGAATTTAATTTTAATTATATCTGCTATGATATTTGAAAGAGCATCATAATGTTTCAATATAAAATAGTTCTATGCAGTCTTTATGTCATTTACATGGTACCATTAATCTGGCAATCTGGGTCTAAGCTCTCAAAAGGCAAGGAACACACTTACAAAAAACATCCTTCATAAACAGTAAGATGAGGTCATTAATGTGAAGGAATTTGTTGCCTAAGAATGGACAAGGATGAAATTTTGCCCCCTCACAGAAAAATCCTCCCTGGTGAACAACTACTAAGAAAAGAAGAAGCTGCCTTATACTGGATCAGGTCAAGATTCAGACAGAAGGTCTTTGAAACATCTAATACTCAACATCCATTTGGTATGGCCAGAATTTATATTGGGAGTCTCCTGTATGTAATACATCATACAGCAAATGGCCTCTGCTCTCAGCAGATCCCTTATTGATACTAACCAATAAGTTTAAGAAGGATCTGTAGGTTCCCCCAGCTCAGAATCCTGCAGCCTGACAAATCCAAAGTATTTGTAAATGGGTTCCAGATTGGCAGACAGTTTTTGTCCAATAGATATTTAGATACATCTCATATACTTTCACCCCATGAATTTAACAAAACATTTGGGAAGTATTTGTACATCCCCCAGATTTGGGCGACTATTGTTTCACGCTACAAATATGAGTTCTGAAAGCAAAACGGCCAAGATTAGTTTACAAAATCTTTCTGTGTGGGAAGATACTGTGGCTGGCCACTTTTACAGAAAGGTTTTGAACTGATTGGAAAGCAGCTCAAGAGTGGTGGGGGTGAGCACCACTAACTCGTTTCCTGTTTGGTTGCAGCGTAGCTAGAATGGCCATGTCTACATAGCAGAGAAATCTTGCCTCACTTCTCTTAGCCACTCTACAGATGCAAGTCCTCTAAGGAAATGTAAGCTTAAGGGCTTAGCAATTCTTCTGAAGGGGGCAAGACATAACAAGCAGGGTTGAAATCTCATCAAGAGATATGTCATTTTCTCTTTGCTTTCCCTGGGAAGGAGCCAGCATTCATACAGCTGGGTGATGGAGGTCTTGTTTTGATTTATAAAGAATCAGGATTTTTGTTGCTCTGCTTCACGTGGGACAGAGATATTTGCCCTTTGTTCTCAGCCCTTCATCTATTGCACATGGCAGCAACTAGTGACTTCAAAAACAACAACCCTAAAGTGAAATGGTGTGGGAGGTGCCCACAGTTGCCCTTCATTCTTTTTTCCTATCGACTATAATATCAAGCAGTGCCAGTAGAGGGCCCCTTATAATCACAAATCCGTTCAACGAAGTGAGTTACTGCTGATAGGCAAAATTGCATCAAATACTCTTGTGTCACTCACTATTTCTCCAGACTGCGGCTCATAAAGGGTGGGCTGGGAAGTGCCATTCGTAATCCAAATAACGCCAATAGGTGCTACATAGCACAGTCCAGTTATGTTACTGATGAAGGGGCCGAGGCGCTGGATCAACTTGCCATCCTGGGACCAGATGCCAACCGTCTGGTCAAAGGAGCCTGAAAGCACCCTGCAAATGAATTCCCAGGTCAGTGCTTCAAGAAAGTGGGCGATCACAGTGAATGGAGGGTCAGTGGACTTTTCCAGCAGCTGGTTAATGCCCCACACTCAACAAATGCTGCATTTCCAATACGTTGGAACGAGGGGAGAATCTTTTTCCATCAACAGTTCTCAGTTTGTATCTTTCAGTTGTTTTCTCCCTGCCGGCAGTTTTATTTAAACCCTGAATTGTCCACTTCCTCTTTGTGGTAAATACCTTCCTTCCCCAAACCTCTACCTCTTTCATTGGTTATAGTCCAAACATTATGACAACACAATTCAGAGGAAAAGGCACCTCTTTCTGCCTGCACCTTCACAATAACAGGGGCAAAGTTCCTATTAAAAGCATGTACACACGTAGGATGATGAAAAAAAAAGGGGGCATATGCAAAACACCAAGTCCTTCATCTAGCTTGTACCTTGTGGTTTCTTGCTGGCGCACCAGAATCAAATGGGTGATGGCTGCATTATGGGCACGTGAGATGCACTGCTTCTTTGTCAGGCCTTTTCTGCCTGGGGTCTGGTAAGTGTCAAAGATCAGTAGTTTTTTGTCATACCTGGAATTGGTAGGGAGGAATGATCAACTGAAGATGAACTTGATTTCAGTTGGCTTTGTTTAAATTTTTCAGCAGACAGCTCAGATCATACCAGAGAGCCTTATTGGTAAAGGCCAAATAAGGTTTCTATTTTCAGAAAAGTGTTGCAATTCACATAATTGTCCTTCAGAGCAATCCAGTAGGCACAGGACTGCTTTTTTGCAGAGCTATTCTGGGTTCCTTTTGGTAAGTCTCTTCTTGTAACATCAGCAATGGGCACAGAATTTCAAACTTCAGAGCAGCTACACTGACCTCCAACATATCTGGTCCTATGACCCCCCATGATTTCCAGCCAATATGATTGTTGAAGTGGTCACAGGAATTTGGGAAGAGTCCTGTCTTAGAAATCTGGAGTTTTCCAATGTGTAGAAAACAGGTATACCAATGACAGTAAATATTATTGGTATCACAAAATATTTAAGTTCTGAACCTGCCTACAGGGGGAAAACTATCCCCACTTCCAAACTCACCCAGCGGTATAAATATGGTTATCAAGGCAGGTGATGCAGGACACAATGTCTTTGTGGGTCCATTCAGAAAAGCTTTGGGTTATGTTGACTATGTGCCCAGATTCTCTTTTTTCATCCAAGGGGAAAACCATCAGGCGTCCTTTGCTCCCACAAAGAAGGAGATGCCGAGCCAGGCTGATTGCCAAGGTGAAGATGGGATAGCCCAACTGAAGAGAAAGAAGGGGGAGATTTACCTAAAGGGCATAAAGTAGTGGTGGCAAACCTATGGCATGGGTGCCAGAGGCGGCACTCGGAGCCCTCTCTGTGGGCACACGTGCCGTTGCCCCAGCCTCGCCTCCTCCCGTGACCCCCTCCTCTCCAGCAGCCCCCCTGAAGGAGAGTCGCCCTCGAGCATGGCACGCACAGAGCAGCGCAGCCAAGGACATGGCAGCCAGGCAGCATAGACAAGACTCTGCCCTCACACCCCATCATTAATTTGATGCTGCAGGGTGCGGGCAGAGGATGTGGCCGCCATAGTGCTGCTGGGCTGCCTGGGCGATCTGTGGCGGGCCCTGGAGGCGGTGAGTGGTCCTGTGGGCAGGTGGGGGGGCATGGGGGGCAGAGTGGGGGCAGGCAGGGGGAGTGGAGCAGGGGCAGGGCCAGTTTTTGGGCACTCGGTCTCTAAAAGGTTCGCCATCACTGGCATAGAGACTAAGAAAGGCATCCCTGCCATAGCACAATCTAAACACAATTAATCTCAGTGGAAGGACCTGGGAGTTTTCAAAAACTGACCAATAGAAAACTTGAGTTCTACAGGCAGACAAGACATGTTTGCTCTGTTGAAGGAATAGCTCAGAGACAAAAAAAAAGTTTTTTATAATCCTAATGGTTTCTAAATGCTTCCAAGGCAGATTTCTAAGATAATTTTAGTGGCCCAGAATCCCGAGGGTATCATTCTCAAGGCTGAGATACACTTGAATGGCAAGTGCCTGACATAATCATTCTGTAACCTTATGATGTCATGTTTGCCATGAGCTGGGGATTATGGGAGTTGCAGTGCATGGTGAATGTAAGGTGACTGGATCATTGGTGAGCTCGAGATTGGGAAAAGTTCTTGAACTCAACGGCAATCAATTCTGTGCAATAGCTTGTAATTTCAGAAAACGTGTGACTGATCTTACTATGATTGGATTCCTAGTCCTAGGGTCTCATGAGATGCCACTCTTACCAGAATACGGTCAAGCACTGTACCACCTGGAGCCCAAACCAGCACAGAGCTGTCATTGGAGGCAGAGAAGAGGAGCCGTGCCTGAATCCAGGAAAGGAAGTGGGTGACCCAGCCAGCATGTTCTTTGGTGCACAAGGTCATGTGCCCACTCTCCATGTCCCACCATTTGATCACTCCATCTATAAGAGTAATATAAGTGACATGCCACTTATGTGAAGAGGAGTTCAATTCATGAATTTTTATTTATATATACACTAGCTGTACCCGGCCACACGTTGCTATGGCTCAGTCTGGTTAAATGGAAAAGAAAGAAAAGAGAAAGCGCAGGTTTGTAATATGTTTAATTTCACAATGCTTGTGGGTATGCTTTTACGTCCAACAGATGGTGCTGTTTTTCAAAAAAAGCATATTTTTACCTGTCACAGGTGTGACATCTATATAATAGTAGGTATATAAAAACAGAAGCGTATTCGAATGCAACGTTGTATCAAAATTTCAAAGCAATCGGTGAAGAACTTTCGGAGATTTAAGATTTTGAACAAACGAACATTTACATATTTATTTATATAGATATAAATATATATTCCATCTATATGCATAGATGGAACAGAAAAGCAGTCTCTTGGTAGATACAGAAAGTTAAATTTTGTTCTCTTTGGTGGAGAAAAATTAGACCTGCTATACTGATGTTATTATCCACCATTCAAACATAATTGGCCAGGGCACGACAGATGCAGGAAGTTGGCACAGGAGTGGAGTTAGATACAAATATTTAAAGTTAGCACCCAAGAAAAAATGTTCCTTCCCAGCATGGACTCACCTTCAAATCCAGTGAGACATTCCCGTCGAGCTGAATGGTAGCCAAGAGCTGTTATTGAACAGCGGTGACGTTCCTTTATTCGCAGGTGCTCTTGCATAGCCATATCTATAGGTGGAATGAAGGATGGTATGAAGAACAGGGATTAGAATGAGGTCACACATGCACATTCACCCTGGGATATTGTTTAATGTATCAGTCTCAGGTTTTTCAAATCAACAGCCATGCTCCTTCCAAAGGTAGAATTGAGTTTAATATTGATAAGAGTGAGGGGTGGAAGAGGACTTTATTTTAGAAGGCCTATGAAGGCTGCATGAGGACAAGAGTGACATGAGATTGTGTCCGTCCGTGTGTTTATATGTGTGTGTGTGTGTGTGTGTGTGAGAGAGAGAGAGAAAGAGAGAGAGAGAGAATTTTTGCAGTGTTAACAAATGTGAAATAATTTGAAACAACTTTATGTTGATATGTGCCCTACTGCTTTCCTACTGCATTGTTATCTAAATCAGTGGAAAAGCGCATATGAATCAGTCTGATGCGAAGAGAGGGGAGATAAAGCAAAACAGAGTGCTTCTGGCTGAGCCTTGAATGGCAGACAACACAGCAGGTGACAAAAAGATGGATGCAACTGTGCAGTGCAATCCAAGCAGTGCTAAGATGCCACTCAATCCCTTAAAACCACAGTATATGCAATCATTTGTGGAAGGATGGCTCTGCTAATCTGTAGCAGCCAGCAAAAGGGAAAGTGGCATCTCTTAAAATTTCAATCCATCTCAATAAATGACCAGGTAATGATTATCCATGTCTTGGAAAAAGGAAGTTCTCTTATCCTCCCAGCCTTTTTTCAGCATTCTCTCAACCCTGCAACTAACGACTGTATCATGAATGGTAATAAATTCCCCCGTTTTCTTTGGAAACACCCAGACATTCAACAATGAACAACGCGGCTGGCACAGGTTTAGCAAAACACAAAAAAAAACCTTCAGCAAACATCTTGATCACTCCGTAGAAAGGGAATGCCAGGAAACAAAAATTTTTCCTCCTGAAGAAAAAAGTTGCATTGCCGTTTTAAACGCAAATGTTAAATTGTAAATGTCAATTTTTTGTGTACAGCAGGGCTTCTCAAACTTGTTCTTTCATTCCCCCAAACCGCTGATCAGAAAGTCCTCATTTAAATGTCTCTGTTGTGACAGAGTAATGGGTTCGTGTGTCGTTACCCAAAAGGAAACCGTTTCTGCCCAAGTTGGGGTAATTTACCCAAGCGTGGGAAGCGCTAGTTTATTTACCCCACAATTTCCCAGCTTCGCCTAAGATTGCTTGCAGTATGTCCTCCCAACTCGGTTCCCTAAGAGTGACAGACGACCGTGATTCAACCGCCCTCCTGCAAGCCCCCCTCCTTTCTCCGAGACTTGCCCAGATATGCCTGGAGGATTTATCGCAGAGTTCTTGGCGTCTCAATCGGTGGCGGCGCCTGAGAACTCGGAGTTAGCTTCAAGTCTCGTTTACTTCCTCCGCCTGTCGCTATGGAAATGAAGGGAAGCGAGGGCGGGAAAAAGCTCATCCCGACACAGCGCATTGGAGTCGTGAGGATGCGATGTGCCTCAACACGGTAGCCGTGGCTTGTCAGAACCAACCCGAATTCCCGCTCATTCTCTACTTTGTTCAGAGGTAGTGGATGGAAAGAGTTGCATTTGCAGCCCTGTGGCTTGCGAAAGCATGCGTGTTTTTTAAAAATTGTATAAGGCCTTTTTTTCAAGGAGTATAAAGGAGTTTCCGTGTTGCTCCGATTTTTGTTTCTCACACCAATCCTTGCAAGCTAGGGAAGCTTGCGAGACAGTGATTAGACCGCATTCTCCCAGCACTTTTGGGGATCAGTGGGGATTAACCAATTTGGGTCTCCATATTTTAAGATGCCTCTTCCCAATCTGAGTCACATATGTTGAGTTATACTTATTTTTTTTTTGTCCAGATGTTATAGATTTGTATTGTTTAAAAATCTTGAAAGTTGTGATTCAACATTTATGGGGAAATGCAAGGTTGAGGAAATCACTCCAGGGCAGCCTGTGCTCCACTCTTTTCCATTGAATCTTAGAGTTGGAAAGGGCCACTTAGATCACTTGAGCCCAACTCACAGCTCAACACAGGAATCCAAAATTAAATCATACTAAAATGATTTCCTAATATTCAGTTCAGTTGGAATCTGCCTTCTAGTAATGTAAAACTGTTACGTCATGTCCTGCTCTCTGCAATGTCAGGCAAATAAGCTGTAATATTTATTTAATTATTACAATTTTTGGATCCTACCCAAATATGCACGACATCCTTCCAGTGTTGTCTTAGTTCCTTTAGTCCTGCTCTGAGAGCTAAACATCCCCAGTTCTTCCAACTTTCTTTGTAGGACATAATTTCCTGTTCCCTGATCATCTTTGTTATTTTTCTCTGAATGTGGTCTTGAATGTCTTAAAAGATGTGATTAGAACTGGATTTCTGGATGTTAAGGGAGAGTCTGGCTAATGCAGAATATTGTGTAACCGTTACTTCCTGTGATTGGGAAACTAACCTTCTAATGATGCAGTTGAAAATTTTGTTTGTCTTTTTAGTGGCGATGACAAACCGCTGACTCCTATTCAGAACAGCATTCACACTTACTATTATGAAGTCTGATAACTGCGTTTATTTTTTTTTCTAAATGAACTTTGATTTTATGCCTGTTATTTCAGTTTGTTATTTTTAGCCTATGCTTTACCCAAAGTATATTTATCTTTTGTTTTTATCTTCTAAAGTATTGTTGAAGGAAAAGTCTTCATCAGGGTCCAGTCCAAGCCAGGAATAAACCATGGTGACTGCTTTAGAAAGAAGGTTGTAGTTTATTGAAGAGGAGAGCCAGACAGAAAGATGGCTCTGGAAGAAAAGAGTAAGCACATGTAGTAGGGAGTGGGTTTTTATACTCTCTTGGGCTTTTGTTTGGAGTTGTTTTCTGCTCCCATTTGAGGCTTTGTATTTCCTGTGTCATATACTTTGACCTGAGTCTGAGTGTGCCCCTTTGGCATCTGTGGGTTAATCCTATTATGTCCTGTCTTAGAGTTTGGGTGGGGTATGTGTCTTGGTCTTCCTAAGGGCTCCAACCTTCCTGAATGGATTATTACATCTGCATTTCTACAGAGCTGGTTTCTGCTTAGGGGAGGGAGATTTGGGGCTATTAAGAAAAATTGGGCATGCTTTTCTGCCTCTTTAAGATCCTTTGAGGAAATATAATATTCTGCCCTTTTAATATTTCCTTCTCTGGGGGGGGGGCTGACTTCCCACAGTATTATTCTCCCTATCTCTATACGTGTTGGAAATTCACCTCAGCCCATTTATAATGAGATTGCTAATTGGAAGATTATGAACAAATATCAAATATTTAGCTTAGGTCAAATATATATTATGTTCATAGTATTCTGACAAACTACTAAAGAAGACATCCAATTAAAAAATGAGAAGTGAATCTGTTCTTCACAAATCTATGTAGACTTCTAGTAATCACTGCATTGTTTTCAAAGTACTGACAATTTATTGTGTTAGAGTTTGCTGTAGAAATTTCCTAAATATTATTACAAAATGGGTTACTCAGAAGTTCTTGGGTCCTCTCTTTGACTATGTTTGAAGATACAGGCAACCTTTCCTCTTCTCTAGGCATGTGGCAACGCAACCATTCTCCAGGGTTTTCAAAGATGATACAGATTTGACCAAATCATCAGTGCAAATTCTTTCAGTATTTTAGGATACAATCTACCAGACTTTGGTGATTTGAATTCATAGATGACCAGGAGGTATTTCCTGACTATGTTTCACTATGTTTCAATCAACTTCTGAGTTAAGTAATCTTTGCTTGGTGCGTCATGCACATGTTTTTGTCTTGTTTGTTTTAGAGCTATGTTTTATAATGCCATAGTAATTTCTAAGAGTAAGAAGCTTTTTCTACGGGACATTATGGATGAACTTAATGCTTTAATATCCATAACTGGAGTCTAGACTGTTTTCCTTAGCCTGGGATCTAGGCACAGAGAGGTTATAAAGCAGAGACAGCTCTAGGAATGGAAGCAGCTGTGGGAATGGAAAGAACAACTCAGGCCTCCCAAAACTTCTGTAGGAATGATAATGATAATGATAATAGAAAGTAAAATGGGCGTCCTGATTTAACTTTGTAATTCAATATCCTCAACCCCCACCCCTGTACAAGAAGCTTTTTCCTGGGCAGCATTTTACCCTGTTTTTTACCCAGTAAAGAAAAACAATAAGAAATGAATGGCTGAAGGAAGTGGTGACAACAGCTGTTTTTTTACAAAGGTATACATTAAGAAACAAGCAGCATATGGACAGGAAGTTCACTTAGACTCTGAAGAAGCATTTGTCTCCGGAAGAACAAGAATCTGCTTCCAGCTTTTTTTCTTCTTTCTCTCTCTTTTATTATTAACTGAAGGAAGGAAGGAAGGAAGGAAGGAAGGAAGGAAGGAAGGAAGGAAGGAAGGAAGGAAGGAAGGAAGGAAGGAAGGAAGGAAGGAAGGAAGGAAGGAAGGAATTCCTCACTTAGAAAGGCCTAAACTAGCGCTAGCAATGACGGTGCAATTTTCCCTCCAGATTCCGGTACATTGTTTAGCTAACATTATTTTTTTACTTTATAATAATTAAGTAAGCTTTTAAAATTTTCACACCTACATTAAGAGTAGAGAAAGAAAAACTGCTGGATTACCAAACACAGCTTAAATTTCTGATGATTAATTGGGAAGTGTCATGACTCTTTATGGCGACAAAGTTATAATGGTCTGATTTTTGATATTTTTCTGATAAAAATACTGTTTTGCATTAGACATAGAGCAGAATGATAAGAAATACAAATTGAAATTGCATACTATTGCATATCTTACTCTCTTGACTGCATAACAATCTAGAAAGATGGCTTTCTTTTTCCATTGACTTGACAGAACAATATATGAACAATGGTAAATTGTGCTGTTAACTTTCTGTGAGTAGGAAATGACCTTAGTGTTCTCTGAAAAAATTGGTCAGGAGCTTCAGACTGACAAAAAGAATTATGAAAGATTGGAACTGACTTTTAAGGTTTCCATACGTATTTTGGTTAACTATTCTTGTTCTTGATGCAGATTAATGATTTTATGTATAAAAGGAGATTATTGGAAAATATTATTTCCCCCCATCTGAAAGGGGGAAGGTGAGATTGTTATAAGTACTGCGCACAGTAGATTGCAAGAGTTGAATGTGATGGAGAAGAGAATGCCAGGAAAGTGAGTTTTCAGGGATTTCTTTGTTTGAAAATAGAATAAGAGTATGAGAATTGAGATTCAAAACACTGGGAAAGCACTGGTTTGGGTAAGACTCTTCTATGGTATGTACTTGTGTTTCAACCAACTGTTTTTAAAATAGAAAATAATGTTTGCAGTGTACTCAGAGTAATTGATCTTTATTTTTTAAAAAATCCACAGAGTAGCTTTCCATGTTTATAAACCTTGGGGGTGGGGGAACTCCATGCTAACAGTAACCACCAGGATCGTCTTGTTCTCAGTCAGCCACTAGCATAAACTTGCAATCAGAAAAGACGAACCCTGCCTGAAATTAGAACAACTGTTCTCTTCCTCAGATGTGCGTTTTACAGTGTAAAGAAAAGAAATATTTGTTGCTATATTTCTTAGAAAACGAGAAGGGCGGCCATTTCTTACAAAAGAGCTATTACCTGTAGGCATGATTAAAATAGTTATACAATTTAATGCCCATTTTCAAACAATAGCCATGTTGACTAATGGCAATGATTCTAAGTAAACCAGTAACTCATGGGTAATCATTGTTAAATCTTCACAAGAAAGGCCGTTTTCCATGCAGAAGGCTAATATATCTACAGTAGCCTACTGGAATTTGCAGGCCTTGTATCACGTTACAGGTAATTCACTGTGCACAACAGTCACTCCACAAATCTTCATTCATTTGCCAAGACTTTAACTGGCACACTCTGAAATGTATTGAGAAGGTCACAGACATACAGGCAAACAGTCATATAGGATCTGAAATTCTATGGAAGCCAAGTTAATAGTATCAGAAAATATAAAGCGACTAAAATATGGGAAACTGAAAAAAACCTCCCCTGATTGCTTCAGTTCTAAAAATGAATTCAGTACATAATCTAAACATTTGCTGGAATATCAAGCCTGAATGCTAAGTGCTTGCTGAAGGGCTATATATAGATACAAAACATAGCCAAGTGAGAGAGAACCACCCACAATCATTGTCCAAACCTTTAACAATTCAGACAGTGTTAGTGAATTAATTCCTGCTGCTGTTTCTTTCTCTGATTGCTTGGGAATGATTTAGTGTACCCATTTGGGGTCAAGTGGATTCTGTTTGCAGCAGATGTCACAAGAATAGAGGGAAATAAATAAGCTAAGAGCATGAAGAAGAGGGAGTCAAGCTATTCTCCAAAGCACCTGAAGGCAGGACAAGAAGTAACGGATGGAAACTAAACAAGGAGAGAAGCAACCTAGAACTAAGGAGAAATTTCCTGACAGTTTAGAACAGACATGTCAAACTTGCA